CAGCTTTATAGACAATGAAGAAATGAGGCTGCACACACCATGATTCAGGATCCTCCACAGAGGATCTGCATTTCCCCTTTATTAGGGTTCTTTTGATAAACAGCACCTGTTGTTGTCATTCAGTTAACCAGAATTCCCAGGACTTTTTGCAAACTCAGTGTTTTGATTCACACACTCCTTCTCAGCTCTAAGGCCAAAACACTCCCTTTGGATTCTAATTAACTGAATGCAGGTGCTGCTGGTTTGACTTGTTCCCACAAGTTTTATATGCAGTTATTGTTGCAGCAACAAAGGTGCTGTGGTTCTTGCGAGGCCGTGCTCCCAAAGCATCCCTATTGCTCCCCTCTGCTTTTCTGTGAATTTCGACCGCTTCTCATATAACTCCATCTCAACCACCTGCAAAACCCAGCCATCCCTCCATAAATTGTATCCACTTAAGACTACTGCCGTAATGTGACCTCTGGAGCAGCACTGAGATCCTCAGAAACCCAAAGCAACACCAGCATGCCAGAGTACAGTACAAGGTATTTGAAAACTTACAAACTTCAGTTAAACTCAGCTCTGCCATTTGACTACCAAGAAACCATGAAGTCCAAAAAGATTTTTTGACTTTACAAAAGCAGGATGATCTAGAAAATTGCAAGATCTTGCAAAATAAATTTGAAGTGAAAGGCCTGAATTTCAGTGGTTTGTATATAAACTTGGAAGAGATAACCTCTACGAGATAAGAAGGAAGAGCATTGGAAGTTTAGCATCTTTCCATAGTTTGAAATATTAGCATTATCATAAATGTGCTAAGTTATATTTTCCATAAACTGTCTCACAAGTTATGCCACAGATTCTTTCCCTTCACAGGTACAATCATGGAAATATTGAAAGACCAATTCAGACTTTAACAAAGTCAAATTAGTTTATGCTGTCAAGGGGACAAAGATGTGGCAGTTGTATAGTGCCATAATTGCTTAGAGGAAATGTAGAACTGTGGATGTAAAAGAACTAACCTGCGCTGCACGTACACAGGTGCAGTGCCAGTTCCACTTGTTCTCTTGCAGTTGATGTTATTCCATTTCTTATGAAATGGAGAAAAGTTCAGTGGCCAAGGAGCGGGAGTCAGTCTGTCCAGCAGAAATGCAGACTATTCTGCTACACCGCGGTCCTCTACTGAGAAGTGGGAGATATTTTTTGGCAGGAGCAGACATGGACATTGCCATCTCGCAGCTTAAAATTGTCCAGTTGCTTTTAAGGGACAATTAATCAGCCTCTTTCCCCTTTTTTCCTCCTAGACAGCACTCAATGCCATTAACAATAATCAGCTAATATGAAACATAATTGATTCCTGTTTGGAGGAACCCGGATGAGTTTCTCTCACCAAATGTGGGAAATTAGTCTGTGTGTGTAAAATCCTCTCTGTAGGAAATGACTGACAGCCTGAAGGAATACAGCTGCAAAACATAAACATGGCAGTGCCTTTGATGAGAGTACTTTAAAAACCTGTTATTAATGTCCCTTCCAAGACGTCATTTAGAAAACCACAATCAATTACTATAGTGATAGCAATCCTCTATATAGCAATTGTACACGAGTGATAGAAATGGTGGAAGCCAGCTATTCTTGACTAGAGATAGTAAGATTCTCCTTGTTAACACATGTGGTATGACCACAAACGCACCTGCATTTTGAAAGATTAACGATAAGTAGCATTTCAATCCTGCCCTGTATTAATAAGCAAGGTCAGTCGTTGACATCTCCTAGTAAATCACTTCCCATTTTAAAACCCCATCTCTTTTCTGTGCCTAAATACTCCATATGGGTGCCATCTGTTGAAAAGTAGAGAAATGACAGTTGGACAAGCAAGGACACTGAGGGAGAGGCTGGGACACAGGCACTGTGGGAAACTTAACAGGAGCCCTGGCTGAGCCCCTGGAGGTAGTGGCTGAGATGGCAGCAGCAGGTCAAGGGAGTTTGAGGCTGCTCCAGCACAGAAGGTGGGGCTGGGAGGTGAACAGTGGGGGCTATGGAACCCTGTGCATTCTGGAAGGCAGGAATTGGGATTAGATCATGTAGAAATAAAGATGGCCTGGAAAGAGGAGCAGGCAGGGTGGAACAGCAGGAAAAAGGAGCCAGAAAGCCTACAGTCTACTTATAACCAACTAGTTATAATGCCAGTGTGTATCCTCATGGAGTGGGTCAGGAATGACAAGAGGCCCATGCTTAAACTGCAGAAGAAACTTTCATTCCTTAAAAACTGAAATGACTTTTCAGCATTTAAATATACATTCTTAATAATATTTGCTTAATACCATTCTTGTATGTACTATTTATATTGTTTGAATTGCTAAGGGCTCATTTCCTATAAGGAGCTTGGGAACTAAAACTGAATTAATTCCCTGTTGATGGGTTTGGACCATAAACCGATGGCCTTGCCTGGTCTGAGGTACCTGTAGGCTGGTGTTCCGCAAGGGTGATGTTTTGTTTATATTTTTCGCTGTCTTCAATTATTGCAGTGATTTTCCAAGGAAAAGAATGTTGGCTCCACTGAGCAGCGAGCAGATTTAAGTAACCAAACTCTCCCATTTTATCACCAGTATCCTTTGTCCTAAAGGAAACCTGGTTCTTGGTCTGATTAAGTTTATTTAAAGACAAATTAATTAAGGAAAGAATGACTTAATTTTTCAAAGTATCCTTGTGGTACAGAGAACAGGTAGAGTTCAGAAAGGATTTCCCTAGGGATACATCAGTGGGGAAGGCCATCCTGGGGGAGAACCACAGCAATTCAGTTCCTACTGGATTAAGGATGCATATAGGCAGTGCTCAGCAGAGAAAATGGTGGGGAAGACAAAGTGTGGGGAGATGTGCCAGGACCATGAAACTTCAGAGCCCCCAGAGAAGTGAAGGACAAGAAAAAGAAATGCTGCCTACATCAAGAAGTATGATGAGCTCTCCTGTGTGTGGACTGGCTCCAAAAGTGCTTGTGGAGGACATGCGAATTCCACAGTGTCTTCAAGTGTCTTTGGACCAGTGTGCTTGTGGGGCAGGGTACACTCGCTAAGTGAAAATGCTGAGGAAAGCTTATTGATTACATTTGCTTCTGGTCTGTGCTCCAGGAGTTCAGGGAGGTAGAGAAGACCCTTATCCTCTGGTCATAGCATCAGACACAGTAAGGGTGCAAACTAAGGAAATCAGGATCTGGCTTGGCAGAGAAGACTCGCATGAACAATTTGTGAAAAGGTTTGAGCTGAAGTTTTGACTTTAGGCCTAAACAGTCAAATTGCCATTTCCAGTCCTGAAGACTGATGGATGGATTTCCATCTGACTTCTCCAGTCATTTTTTATTAAGAAGGCTTGATATTTTCTCCAGGGCTATTCATATTTTAAAGCAGTTTAAAGCAGTTCTTTAAGAGTGGAGTCTGCTTTGGGGGGAAGGTAATTCTGTTCCTTGGGCAGAATTTAAAACTCACATTTTGCTAACCCAGAATCTATGACAATACAGATCTGCTTTCCTTGAGCCTATCCACAAATAGCAGTTTTTTCTAAAGTTTCTATTTTTGATTGTTCCTTATTCAGCTCAATCTGAAGATGGCACTCCAATTTCTGAATAAGAGCATATGTACACAGAGCTAAGCTAAGCAGTTGACTATCTTTAAATTCAGAATTTCTCGTTCAGTTTCTTAATTCCTTATTAGCTTGCACATGCAAACTCTCTCTCAGAGCCTAATCCAAATCCCACTGGTGCCAGTGAGAATGGGTTTTACCTTTCAAATTTAGCCATCTAAAGATTAGGTGTGTATTCTAAATGCATCTGTGGAGGAGTCACTTGTAGTCAAAATAGAGAAAATTAGCATTTCCAGGACATGGTCCATAACATCTGCCTTAAAGACTTGAGAGGGTACAAGTGTATTTCTGGCAGCTGCTATCTTATTCCCCTGCCTGTTGAGGGAGCCTGTACCACCAGCATAGAAGCCTCGTTACTCTTTGCTAAATGAACCCAGGGGAAAGAATCCTTCTGTTTATATTAATGGAAAAAGATTCAGACTTTCAGTCCTTTCTGCCAAGGTAAATTACAAATGAGTAAGCAAAGTCCCAGGGCGTATCCCAAGTTGCATCTCATGGACTGCTAACTGTGGCTTCAGGCAGCATTTGGGATGTACCGAAACGACATATGAACTCCTGAAACAACATAAAACTTTTTTTTTTTTTAATTATTACTCATATCTTGCATCACACTGGACTCCTTGACAGGGAGCACAATTAGATAGAAATCTCAAAGCAGTGGCAAAATCTTTTTGTCTGTCTTCTTTAAAGATGCTCACAGTGAGCTATGTGAAATGTCAGGAATAATTAGACAAAACTATATAAGCTCCTAGCAACACTGAAGTGATGTGTAAAACTAAGCATTTGCCATAAAGTTTTAAACTTTGTTTGAAACCTGCATGATAAAGGTAACCTGAGAAGTTTTTAAGCACAATTTCAAATATATTAATACAGACATGGATATGAAAAAGCAGAATGGAAAACTATGAAATGCTGGCATGCCTCTGCTGCACTTTTTCAAAGGTGATATCTAAAAGTAATTGATTCTTGTACAGCAATTGAAATGAAAAGGCAAATTTCCTCAGCTCTTCATCTGCTGGAATGTATTTTAACAAGCAGGAAAAAGACTAGCTCCTGGTATCCATAATTCACAAAGATCGCAGACATGTTTGTGAGAAGGGACCTCTGGAGGTCCCTTAGTCCAACCTCCCACTTTAAGTAAAATCCGAAAAACCAAAGAAAGAATAACCATTTCACATCAGCAGGAAGTCTGGCCCAAAGGGCCCTTTGGAGAAGGAAAAAAGTGAACCATGAATGCAGAGAAAAGGGGGGAGAAAAGGCAAGAGAAGAGAAAAGAAGGAAAAACAGACCAACATTTTATTTGAGGTAGTAATATTAGAAATGTAGAACTCTGTACCAAAAGGTGGGATTATCCTTGATTGACTAATAGATGTGCTTTTATCTTCTAGGAAAACAATGAACAGGAGGAAACCTGGAAGCTTTTTGCTGCTGTGTTGAATATGGGATTATAAAAAAAAATTGCATCTGGAACATCTCTCTAAATGGATGACTTCTGAACCTGCAACCCTTCATTACCTGAAGCAGCACCTTCTTGCATCCTGGAGGAGAAAATGAATTTCACAAATTGTACCACTGAAGCCAGTGTGGCTGCAAAACCAAAAACAGTAACTGAAAAGATGCTTGTTACTCTGACCTTGGCCACAATCACAACCTTGACTATGCTGCTGAATTCTGCTGTAATTGCAGCAATCTCCACAACCAAGAAGCTCCACCAGCCGGCAAATTATCTCATATGTTCACTAGCTGTGACAGATCTCCTTGTTGCTGTTCTCGTCATGCCCTTGAGCATCACTTACATAATGATAGATAAATGGACTTTGGGATACTTCATCTGTGAGATCTGGCTTAGCGTCGACATGACCTGTTGCACATGTTCCATCCTTCATCTGTGTGTCATTGCCCTGGACAGGTACTGGGCAATCACAGACGCTATTGAATATGCCAGGAAAAGAACGGCAAAGAGGGCTGGGCTGATGATAGTCACCGTGTGGACTATCTCCATTTTCATATCAATGCCCCCTTTGTTCTGGAGAAATCACCACAGCATCAGTATTCCCAGCGAGTGTCGCATTCAGCACGATCACGTAATCTACACTATTTATTCCACATTTGGGGCGTTTTACATACCCTTGACTTTGATCCTGATCTTGTACTACAGAATTTACCACGCTGCAAAGAGCCTTTACCAAAAGCGGGGTTCAAGCCGCCACCTCAGCAACAGGAGCACAGACAGCCAAAACTCTTTTGCCAGCTGCAAGCTCACGCAGACATTCTGCGTCTCGGACTTCTCCACGTCTGACCCGACCACAGATTTTGACAAAATTAATGCGTCCGTGAGGATCCCGCCTTTCGAGAATGACTTGGACCTGGCTGGTGACCGGCAGCAGATCTCCACGACACGGGAACGAAAGGCTGCTCGCATTTTGGGGCTGATTTTAGGTGCTTTCATTTTGTCCTGGTTGCCCTTTTTCATCAAGGAACTTCTTGTGGGTCTCCACATTTGCACTGTCTCTCCAGAAGTAGCGGACTTCTTGACCTGGCTTGGATATGTCAACTCCCTCATCAACCCTTTGCTGTACACGAGCTTTAACGAGGATTTCAAGCTGGCCTTTAGAAAGCTTATCAGGTGCCGGGAACATACATAAAAATACTGGCAGATGATGATGCTGATGTGACTCCTAGCCTTAAAATTGAGCAAAATAATTTGACTTTGTCACCATTTCCCTTGATAAAGGGGATTTTTGTGTTTGCCTACTTGCTTGACTTATCTTCAGCCTGTAATTCATTATCCTGTTTTTTTAATCTCTACTGTTATTCATGGTAAAGGGTTTGAAATAAAATTACTCTACAAAGGAAAAGATTTTTTAGAAATGAAACAACAAAAAAGATATTATTACTATTAGATACTGATGTTTAAGACATTTTGTGTAATCAATGATTCAAGAAGCAAACAACAATATTCACTTTTATACTTCTTCCATTTAAGAATCAAACATCTAAATTGTCATGCACGGTATAAACTGAACCCCATAAATACATATTCAAAAATTAATAAACGCTTCGTGGTCATGACAGCTGAACAACAAATCTTTACTTTAAATGGCATTCTGTAACTGCCACTTTGAAGGAAAATTACCACCATTTCCAGCTTGGGCTGAAGCAGAATAAACTATTCCTTTCTTCAGGAATACACTCCCAAAACAGAAAGCAAAGTTCAGTTCATTGCATCTGAAAATTAATCTCATTTTTTATTCCAAAGCAATTATTTAGGTGGCTCTTTTATATAATATTCCATATTTATCTTTAAGGAGTTGGGCAGACACCTGTGCAGTTTGTTTGGGAATTGAGAGGATGCAGCTAGCAAGTGTCACACTTGTGAAACTAACTGCACATCTGACTGCTCACACATTTAATACCAATAACCCTATTTCTTCAGGCTTTGTACTTTGCTTAGTTCTGGAGTGATATTATTCACTTGTGGTACACTTTACCTGGGCCTTGTAGTGAACAACCCCATGCATTGATTGATCTTACCCCACCGACTTAAAAACTGGAAATTTCCTCAGCAGGCCAGCAATATACAGAAATTCAGAAGCATCAGCTAAAACCAAATTGTTTTCTGTTTGAACATCAGAAAAAAAAACTAGGGAAAATAATTTATTTTTAATACAAGTCTGCACATCTGCCTGGTCCTCATTTTACAATTTGCAGTGGTATTCTTGCCCACTTAACTATGATCAGGTCCTCTAGCAGGACTTCTTCCTCTGGAAGTGCTTCACATACTTACCTCCCTTGTCTTGAGAGACACACAAAGAGTCCTTTGTCCTGTCTTCTGTGCTTATGTAAGTAAAAGTGTCCTGATTCAAATATTGTGGAAATCAGGCTGGGAAGGAGCAAAATGAAATCTAGTATTGTCCATTAGCAACTCCTAAGCACTGTTTAAATACTTGTTGCTTACTTTGCACCTTAATTTTCTTCCCTGTCCATTTTTCTGGACAAATTCTTTTTTTAATTACACTGCTATACCATATGGAAATTACATCAACGTGACATGCAATAAGGCTGAACTATAGTATGGCAGTTCCAAATCCATCAAAACAAATGCTAGAGGTAGCAAAAGTGTTGCAACAGCACTGAAAAACTATCTCTTAAAAACTTTTTGAAAATGTACAAGATGACAAGAATTTTTCTTATCAAAGGTCAAGGAAGTGTAAGTAATATGTGAGTAATAAACTCCTGGGGGAACTGAGAAATTGCATCCTTATTGGTGAGAGAAAGCACTTAGTTGGAAAGATGCAGTGCCACAAGCTGAGTGTAAATCGTCTGAACGTGACAAAATTCTGAGTTACTGCTTACCCACATGCAATGGGATTCTTCTTTCAGAACTCCAAGTTTCCTTGCCTGAGTTTGAAGGGTTTATCTCCAGCTGTCCTTCTGAAGCTACTGTTGCAGCTGCCTCCTCAAGATGTCTTTGGGTCCCCTACTAGCCAACATTAAATCCTAAAAAGAGGCAAAAATTAATCTCAGCCACTGAAAATACTTTTTTATTGGGAGATCGCTTATGGTTTTTCTTTTTTGCAGCTTGTTGGAGGTGGAAACTGTTGACTGAAACTGGGGAAGTGTGTTCTTATCCTGCCTATCTATAAAGCTTCCAAAGCAGCTCCCCAGAGAACATGTGCTGTTCAGGAAAAAAGGTAGCTGGGAATTAAAATAAAATGTAGTATTTTTAGGAAGTGCTGCAGAATTATTTTATTTTTTCTGCCAGCGCAATGGGAATGATAATCAAAGAAAAGGATTGGGCGTAATTTCCTGAAACAAGGTGAACATGACAGGGAAGACAGGACACATGAGCAGTTGTGCCTAGAAGAGAGTACGTTTTGGTATCCCTTGAGTCATTTCCTGCTCTTCTGCAAGGGTGCCCACCCACAATAATGGCCAGAAAGAGAAGAGTAAATGTGCAAGGCTGCCCCAGCAGACAATCTGAGCCACCCCGAGGCATTCAGCTAAGATGAGGCAGAAGCTGTGCCCCAGCCAGCTTCCTTGGGCTGTCACTGGGGCTCAGGTTCAGCCGTGGGTTGCACAACGGTCTTTGCTAGAAGAAAGGAAGAGGTGGGAATGGCAGCGCTGGTGAAAGGTGTTTCAGAGTGGAAATCCAACAAAATGCGATAGGCTGCCAGCTCTGAGTGCTGCTCCTAAGGGCATATCAGCACACAGAACAATTTAGGTTTGAAGAGATCTCTGGAGGCCAACTAGTCCAACCCCCCCTACTGAAAACAAACCTCAAAGTGGCACCAACCCCACAGCTTGACGCTGCTGCTGCTCTGTGGGGTGCAGTCACGTTCCTTGTGGAAAAGTAAGGGCTCGGTTAACTCTGCTGGCAAGGCTGATGCTCATTTAAAGCCGTAAATATGGCTGAAGGGCCAGAAACGTGAACATGACCTCCACAGCAGCTGTCCTAGGTAGGTAGAAGTGCTTCAGCAACACATATGAAGGTTGTAAAATGTAGGTGCTGCGTCATCTTCATTTCTACTGATGTCTTCCTTTTAGTATCTGAACTCCACTGCTACCACTCAAACTACCAATCAGGTTAAAGGCTGCATTCAATTTTAATATTTAGAGGTAATTAACAGGAAAAAACAGATGGGTGGCTAATTTCCGTGCTTCCCTGTTAAATAAAGACTCACCATTCACTGCCAGCTGACTACTGCTTTTCTAATTAAGTCATTAGCTAAACACAGAGCTGTGTTTTCCAACAAATGCCACTAGACTAATGAAGATATATGTTTTGCCCATGCTCAGAAACTAAATAACAATATAAAGGATTGGTTACTTAAAACAGTTTAACTTGATCAAAAATCACCTATCTTCTCATGAGAATAAAAACTTTTCCTAGTCTGGCACCATTGTTTGACAACATTTTTTTCCTATATTAAGTGTTTACTGCTTTTACAAAAGGTTTGGAGACATTTCTTGACTTGTCCATGGGAAGTCCCCATTCACACTGATCCATCCTGGATCAGGCCCACCACACTATGTTCTGCCATACAAGCTCTTCCCAGCAAGCTCTTAGTGATGTGTCCAAAGTCTTCAGCCTACATCCATTTTCCTTAGCCTCTCTAAACCATCTTGCATCCTCAAGCCTTATTTTCTCTAGTGGTCCCCTTGCAAAATTGTCTTTTGTTACAGGCCCTATCCTGCCTTTGGGTTTCTGACTCTGTCTAATCTCTAAATTTGTTGTGATCCCATTAGAGCAAGCCCCTGTTTTCTCCCCCTATCTCAGCACTGTTATCAGAATTCCCATGATTGTGGCTGTTCAAGTATGTCAGATATTACTCTGTCTTCTATGTGTCCAGGCCATATCCAGAAGCTTTCTGCTCCATGGAAGCAGACGGTGCTTTGGAGTGCGTTCATACTAGCCTTGAAGACTGCATCCATCAACCAGTTTCCCTCCCAAAAAGACATACTCTTCAAATGCTATTTTACCTGCTATTTTTATCTTGTCGCCTTCCTTCTGTACCCTATCTTTTTGTTCCCTTTCTTCCATATTAAAATTGACCCTCATATTACTATTTCATGGATCTGTATCTTCACTTTTAGGCACCTGTACCTGCACGGGTAACTCTGGTTGCACTCATATCCTGCTCTTCTGCCAGTGCCAACCTCAACTCTCTTCTCTGAAAGCTTTGTCTTGACCGCCTCCATATACTTGCCACATCTCTCCTATTCCTTGCAGCTGTTTTTTTTTTCCTTCTCAAAACCACTTCTGATATGACTCCTGAGAGGAAAACAGTCAACATGGGCAATGGAGGAATAACTCTGCATGTATTGTCTGTGGTTTTTTCTCCATCTTTCCCACATAGATCACATCATCTCCCAAGGTAATGTGATCTACCTCTCCCCCTTGGGCACAGCACATCCCAAACACAGCAAAAACAATGTAAGAGCTGTGTATATCCTGAGCCACTTATATTTGGTTCATGTACATCCCTTTAGAGCTGTGGGTTCCTCACCACAATGATGTACCTTGCTGTTCACAGCACATGAGATCAATTTCTTTGATCTCCCTGAATGGAGATAGATGATGGGATCGAGCTCTCTAAAAGGTTTAAAACAAAGCCCATGTCTCACCAAATTTACTTAAAAGGTTGTCACTATTCAGACTTCACTCCCATGTGCCTGAGCTGTCCAGTTTTCCATAGTTACCACTTCTTACTTCTCTGTCCTTTGGAGGTACAAGGAAGGAATAACAACAACAACAACAACAAAAATTTGGCTTTATTCAGGAGAATATGTTAAAAGAATAAAGGAATCTTTTCTAAGGGCTCTATTTCCACTTCTCTATTTTCAATCCCAGTTATCAAAGGGTAAAGAGCATTGCAGTGCTGAGGTGAAATACAGGCTTGCAGCTCAAGTGGAGAGACTGTCCTTGTGCCTGTGTATTGTTTAACCATTGCAAATATCAATAACAGACAAGCTGTGTATGTTCATCCTTTACACACACAAATGATTTCTATGAAGAATTATCTTAAATTCCTTTATTGTTTAAGGAAACATGGTAAATATTGTGATATCTTGAATTGGTCAAGTAGTATTTCATAAGAATCCCATGCAACATAGTCACCCTTTATAATTGCTACCGGTTTTTCTCTTGAGGCTGAAAATAATACATTTTTTAAAAATTATCTGACTCTAGATAAATGCCATGTTCATGAACTGTAAAATTATTCTTTAACATTCTCTACTTTATGTACATCATATTGCAAGCATTGTTCCCTTCCCCTCTTGCACTGCTAGGGGATCTTTACTTCTTCATTAATCCCATGTAGGTGATCACATGTAGATGATGTTACATGATTAAATTACTCCTTCCCACTCAGCTAATTTCTATGCTTCTATGAATCAGGCCTTAAATGTAAACTTTTGGTGTTGCTGATGTAAGTAGAAGATGTAACCATGAATGAGCTGTGGGAAAAAAACATGATTAGAAAATTATATTAACCTCTTCTCAAAGACCTAAGGGAGAAAGATTAATTTCAACTTTTTTCCTTCTTAATCAGTTTTCTTTTCTCCTCATCTCACTATTCCCTGGTCCATGAATCCTGTTCATTAATTTTTCCCCCATTTCTTCTCTCTCTCTCCTTCCTTTCCTTTGCAGCCTTCATCAGCACCACAGCAGCATCTAGTAACCTATAGCAAGAAACAAGGCAACCTTTGTGCTGTGTTGATACACAACTGTATCAAGAGCATCACTCTGCTCTTGATTTTTGGAAATCAGGTTTCAGGCTCTGTCCCATGGCACTGCTCTGCACAGTCTCTGCTTCAGTTTTGTTGTAATTTTCCTACAAATCAGATTTTTAATGTACATTGAGATTCTTCCGAATGAAAGGTGCTGTGTATTAAACCATGATTTCTTCCCACATGTCACAATTTTTGAAGATATCTTATTAATAATTCCCTCTCCTCTCCCATGGAGCTTCTATCAGAAGAAGCTAAAGTCGCAGCTAGCATGATTCCCAGATGCAATAAGCAGTGTTGGAAATGC